AAATTCGAGGGGAGGGGGGGAAGTACGAAAAAAAAAATTAATTTTTTATTTACGGAAGAAGAATAAGATCCGAACAAGTAATTTTTATAGTTTTAAATTGAAATTTAATTGACGAATAAATAAAACGATTTGTAATTAACGACGACGACGACGACAACAACAACAATATTTACAAAATAAATTTTTTTTTTTGGTTTTTGGCAATGCGTGAAAAATTATTATTATTATTATTATTATTATTATTATTACCAATTACTTATTACCGTTTAATTAATTTATATAAATAATTATCCGACGCGACGAGTTCTTTAAACTTTTCCTAACATCCGCAACAGGTTTTTTTTTTTTTCCTCATTCGATTTCCGGTTTTACAGGACGTATCGAATTTCTGTCGTTTTTTTCCTAACGTGTAACCAGAAAGTTTTTTTTTATTTTTTTTCCTACGTCACCGGATTTTTGTAGTCTTGTCTTGATTTTTGTAGTCTTCCGGTCTGGTTTCTTGTTTATTTCTTTCGCTTCGCTTTCTCAATTCGAATTTTCCAACCTTTCATTAATGATTATGCTCTTTCTCCTCGTGAGCAACTAGTTTTCCTTTTTTCTTTTCATTCTTTTTTCTTCCGGTTATGACGTCTTTTCCGTTTTTAAAATTATTCGGAAATGTTTTACTTTTCCCTTTTCCCCTGTTCTCACAAAGCCTTCCATTGTCAAAAAAAATTCATACAAACGAAAACGAATTTGTGTTTGCAATGCGACCAAAAAAAACAATTTTCCCTAAGGAAAAATATGAAGAGAGAGAGAGAGAGAGAGAGAGAGAGAGTAAGGGAAAAAAGTTACTCTATGATTTACAAAATATTCAACACGTCAACAAAAAAAACTTAAAATTTTTATCTAAAAAATTTTTTTTTTTTTGGTCAAGTGTTAATGAATTAGAAAGTAACTAACAAAAAAAAAAAAAAATTTTTTTTTTTTTTTTTTTTTTTTTTAGTTCCGTATATGTGTTATTTAAAAATTAAAAAATTTTTTAAATTTTTTTTACGGTAAAAAATATTGCGAATAATAATAATAATAATAATAATAATAATAATAATTTTGAAACGGTCATAGAGTCAGTCAACATTTAAAACAAATTTTATATTATTTCGTCAAACGAACGAAGTGATTACGATGACACGTTAAATCGTCGTACACGATAAATCGTATATTTTCGCGTTTATTTACTCTGTGACTTACGTACACTTCCCTCCCGTACGCGTATTTCTATTATTATTCTTATTGTATACGAATTTATTATAAAAATTAAATTGAACATGAGATAAATATCGGCGGGGAAACAAAGTCCGACCGGACACACGAAAAAATAAAAAAAGAAAATAATAATAATAATAATAATTATAAGCGGAAGGGGACGGGGGAGGGGGAGGAAGGGAGGGAAAGGGGGAAACTTGATGCGTAATCAATTTAAGGCTCGATATATCGATGCCTCATTCGAATTCGGAAGTTGGAACGAGAAAAACTCGTTATTAAAACTTTCTAATTTTTTTTTTTTAACCTCTTTTATACGAAAAGTAAAGAAAGAAAAAAAAAATCTTCAACCACTTTCATGTAATATCGATAATGGTAATAATAATAATAATAATAATAATGCTAACAACAACAAAAACAACAACAACGAAAACAACAACGACAATAATAATAATAAGCAATCTACTTTTCCGCTATGATAATTATCATAATATAAAAATTTATTTATTTAAAATTTAACGCGATAATAATGATAATAGCAATATCGTTATTGCGATACGGAAATAATCGAGAGTGTGCGTGTGCGTGCGTGCGTGCGAGTGCGTGCGCGTACACGTTCAAATAAAAATTCAAAAATATTTTCTCTTTTTAACGAAGTCGGAAAATTCTTTTTTTTTTTTAAATTTATTTATCATCACATAATTTTTCCAACGTTTTTTTTTTTTTTTTTTTTTATTTATTTTTGATGATGTGTTTAGTTTACGCCACTGATTCGCACGGATTCGGTAACATTATAAATAAGGTTTAATAATAATAAATCATTTGATCGTAATATAGTTAAAGTGTAGTAAAGTAGATAGTTGCTGCTTTCTACTACTCATCTTTAAAATTTTTTTTTTTTTTTTTTTTTTTTGAAAGAGATGAGATAAATTGTTGATTTTATTCTATCTATCTATCTCTCTCTCTCTCTCTTCTTTCGTCTCTATTCCAATGTTATCACTTTTTTTTTTTTTCTCAAAGTTCATGGCTAAATTTATTGATAACGCTTCGTCCTTAAAGATCTTGTTACTTTCGATTTGTGATAAAAACCGACCGCAGACGACAACGACGACGACGACGACGACACATACATGGCAAAGGAAAAAAACTTAATTTTTTACAACAACAAAAACATTCACATACACTAAAAATTATAACTTTTTCTTCCAATTCATTTCTTCTTGTTGAAAAAAAAAATGGCGGATTTACCTATTGTAAAAACGTGGTGTCGTCTAATTGATATTAGATCAAGGTGATGACGAAATTATTGATTTTTTTTTTTTGGAAAAATTATCGATTATTTCGATTGATTTTTTAATATCGATCGACCACATGGACGACTTTAATTCTTCTACTCGTTCCACTTTTTTTTTTCATGTAATTTATAATGTCTAATCAAATAATACATTTTCCCTTTCTAATTCTTCCATTATCATTATCATTTTTTATTGTATATATAAAATAAACTACGATTAATTAATAATTATTATTATTATTTATATAAAATCCATTGATTGTATCGATCTCTTTAATAAAACAATCATTCGTTTAGATATTTAAGGTAAAGCTTCCGTTTTAAATACGAATCAGTGACGTTTTTTTTTCTACGTAAACTTTCTCTTTTTTTTTTCTCTTTCATTTTCTTTTATTTCTTCTTTAAAAGTTTTGTTTGTTTGTTGTTGTTGTTGACTGTTTGTCTATTGTTTGTTTTCCTTTATACATATATATATCTACATATATATATTATTTTGCCATTTGAAATTTTTCGTTTTTTTTTTGCCATTCAATGATGGTGGTTCTTTTTTCTTTTTTACTTTCTTATCTTTTGAAACCGATTCATTGGATAAAATCTGGCACAACCTGGCACTGTTTGTTTTTGTTAATAATGCCACAATTCGTCTTCATTTCGTTTTCATTTTTCCTTACTCTCCTCCCCTTAAAAAGAGACTTTAGATGGTTTTTCTCATAAACGAAAATTCGTACATAGAACGTATTCGAGCATCCCATTTTAATGAAACTTTTTTTTACTTCGCATACTTCCGCTCTTCTCCGCCATATTTATTTATTATTATCATTATTATTATTACAAACGTTCCTCAATAAATTTCCCCTTCCCCCCCCCCCCCCCCCGCGTTTAAAAAACTCATCGCAAACAACAGGTAAATAATTTTTTTTTTTTTTTTTTTTTTCAACTTTCACTTTTTCCCGTTTACAAAAAAAAAAAAACCATTCTCGATGTTAATAATAATAATAATAATTTACTGTAAGTAATTTTTTAAATAAATAATTTTCCAGTTTTTTAAAGAATTAATTTTAAACCCCCTCCCCCCCAAAAAAAAATTTCAATTCCGTTTTTTAAAATATGAAAATAATAATTTACAATTAAATGTCGTAAATAATAATAATTTTGATGGGAAAATCCGTAGGATACATTGTTTAAAAAAAAAAAACGCGTAAAATAAATCATTTAAACAAAAAAAAAAAAAAAAAAAAAATGTCAACCTTGCCAAAATATGAAAAAATAAATAAAATTAAAAAATTAGATAACGTAAAAAAAAAGGTTTTCTTCTTCTGACACGACAAACACGAATGTTTTATTAATAATGGCGCCTTTTTCGTTCGGACGAAAAAAAATTTAAAAAATCTAAAAATTTTCGCGTTGTATTCGCGTTACGAACCGTTCGTCATTGCTACCAACATAAAAATTAACTTTTAATTTTTTTTTTTTTTTTTTTAATGTGTTAGCATTTGAAATAATAATAATAATAATAAAATTTATATTCAATCATTCAAACTATCGATTATTATTATTATTATTATTAATAAGTTAATTCTGATTCTTATGTTGGCAGACATGTTAAATGCAATTAAAACCAGGAAATTTTTTTTTATTTTCACATGAACTACTTTTGCCTATTGTCATTACAACAACAACAACAACAACAAACTATTATATATAGATAATTATAATTAAAAAAAAAAAAAAAAAAAAACAGTTTTGCCGTTTTCAACTTCCGATAATTAACGGTACACTTTCATTTTCACCACGTATTCCCTCCCTCCCCTTTCTCCCCACTTCCCAACCCCCTCCTCCTTTTTTCTTGTTTTATTAAATCTTAGCCGATAGTTATTATTATTATTATTATTATTATTATTATTATTATTATTATTATTAACGTTTTTTGTTTTTAATGACTAAACATTTAGTTTTTACATAATTCGTAGTAAATTTTTTAAAGATA